TTATATTACTGATGTTTCAGTAAAATAAAACAGTGATTTATAAAAACACAATGAAAATGAAAAACATGGTGATGATTTTCTGTGCTTCATTAGTCTATTTTAGGCACGATAAAAGAATAGAAGTGATACTTTCTTTCTTTGTGATAGTCATCATTATGATTAATAACTGCTTTAAACATCCTTAGTTAAACAACCAATGAATCATGAACAGAATAGATTGTTTCTGTTTAAAATCTGATTAAGAGAACTGAAGTCCTCGTGTAGACTAAAATGACCCGTCATGGCCTAAAATAAGAGTCCAGCGTTCCTGCCTTTCTCTCAGGCCTGTGCAAGACCTGCTTTGAGTCAGTAACTCCCGTTTCTTCACTCGAGGTGACCCCTACACTGACAATATTTATGAATGTAGGCATGTATGTATGTATATCTTTATACATGTATGGGTATGTGTATATATTTATTAGGGGTGCAACAATATATGTACCCGTATTGAACCGTACCGAACAATACAGATTTTTAAAATTTACTTTATCAACATGTCTTCTGAAGATGTTCTGTGTTGAAGGATCAGTGGATCTGTGTTCMACTACTCCACCTAGGCTGCATTTTTGAGTGCAGATCCACTGAGAAACTTGCTGTTTCAGCAACATTTAATTTAAAAACTGTACTTTTGAGGTTAAACAAATGTTCATAATTAATATAAATAAATTGCAAGTTAAAGGGGGCATGGACATTTCTCTTTTTTGTATCGAAAAAATATCGAACCGTGAGACTAAAGTATCGAACCGAACCGTGAATTTCTTGTATTGTTGCACCCCTAATATTTATATATGCCCTCCATGTATTTATCCATTTATTTTTCAGGTGAGCGGACAGATGTTGGGTGTGTGGTCCTGTGTTTTGTTGGTGTATATTTAATATACTTCTAATCGCTATTTCAATCTTTCTAATTACTTCTCTCTCTGTTTTTCTGTCTTTCTTCTTCACTTAAAAAAAGTAACTGATGATGAAGAAATCAATATACTAAATAAACTAATAATATTTGGTTTTGTTTTCTAATGAAGTGACAAAAAAAAGAGTGGATGAGAGGGTGAATGAGGGTAACCCCCGTGTCAGGGCTCCATTGTGTAAAGTATGAAAATAAATTAAATAAATCCACTTTGTTTTGATGAACCTTTCAGGGAAATTCTATCAGTTAGAGCTACGCTGACAGAAATTTGAGCCTAATGCACAGCTGGTTTAATGGTTGGATTTGGTTCCCCTCTCCCATCGTCAAATAAACTGAACTAAAAACACATGAAAGTTTCAGGAAACCTTTAACACACCACAGACCCAGAAAACTCTGCTGTTTGTCTGTTAGCAACGTCTGGGGCGACCCCCGGCTACAGCCTGGATCTTCATGCTGCAGATCGAGTGCTTTACCCTGGGCAAAGTTGGACAGTGAGCCGGGTCAACCGCTTGAGCTCCCCACGTTCCGGGCGAGGAGCTAAACCCACCACGTCTAGTTGCATATTATCAGGCTTACAAATGATTGATAAGTACCTTCCAACCTACTAGGAGGTAGAGGAGGGACAGTCTGCACACAATATATGGGACTGATAACCTATAATAATGGCCATTTAATGTATAGTCAACATTCGAAGCAGGTGCCAGAGGAAATCGATTCAGTCCCACTAACCAATATGGACACGTCTTCCTTTTTACGCCCCACCCCACATGTTCATGTTCGCTGAGTTGAAAACTTTCGAGTTCAACCAAAAACTTAGAGCCAGTGTTGTATAAAGTACCTCAAAGTGATACTTGAGTAAAAGTACAAGCATCTTATCATAAAAATACTTTGGTAAATGTTAAAGTCTTCTCTAAAAGTATTACTTGAGTAAAAGTCTTAAAGTAGCTCATATTTGTTGTACTTAAGTATCAAAAGTAAATTTCTGACACAAAATCTACTTAAGTATTAAAAGTAAAAGTACTGAGTAAAAGTGAGCAGATAGATTTTACAAAATGACATTTATTGGGAGGTGACTTCTCCAAAAAATATATTTTCTAACAGTGTGCAGCTGTGATGGGTTGTGTACAAGATAATAGTGTGTCAGAATGGTATATATTTATACTTCTCATCCAAACACAATTAAGTTCACTCTATCCAGGAGACACAATTTATCAGGATAGTATTTTTTTAAGTAATAACTCAGAATAAAGTAGGAGTAATGACTTTCTACTTCTTACCTTTTTAAAAAAATGTAGTGAGTAGAAAGTACAGATAATTGTGTAAAAATGTAATGAGTAAAAGTAAAAAGTACACTGAAATATAATTACTCAAGTAAAGTACAGATACCCAAAATTTCTACTTAAGTACAGTAACAAAGTATTTGTACTTAGTTACTTTACAACTCTGGTTAGAGCATCAACAAAAAGTTTGAGATTCAACCAAAGATTTCTGAAATGTGGAAAAATAGTTTGTTTTACAAAAAACTTTTTGATTTAATTTTTTTGACTGAATTTTTAGTAGAATTTTTGTTGATTGAAATTTATTTTTTTATTGAAACAGCTTTTTTGTTTGTTTGAATAATAAAAAACAAAATTACCTCCATACAATGCAACTCAGTAAAAATATCAAATGTTTAAACTTAAGAAATTATATTATTTTGGTTTTTGGAATAATTGAAGTTGTTGCTCTTTGGAGATTGTTGGTGTTTTTTAAACACATTCTGATTTTGTTTAGAGTTTGACTTGTTCTACAAGTCCTGTTTTTGTTGTTTAGAATGTAATGAAAATCAAAGTTTAATTAAACATTCATAACTTTTTTCATCCCTTTCTTCCAGAATTCCATTCGACACAATTTGTCCCTCCATAGTCGTTTTGTGAAAGTCCAGAATGAAGGAACCGGGAAAAGCTCCTGGTGGATGGTGAACCCAGATGGAGGTAAAGGAGGCAAAGCTCCCCGAAGACGAGCTGTTTCCATGGACAACAGTAAGTACATCAAAGGAGCCAGAGGACGGGCCACCAAGAAGAAAGCCTCCTTGCAAGCGGCACAGGATGGTAGCTCTGAGAGCTCCTCGAGCCTGTCCAAATGGACAGGAAGTCCCACGTCCCGCAGCAGCGACGAGCTGGACGCCTGGACGGATTTCCGCTCCAGGACCAACTCCAATGCCAGCACGCTCAGTGGGCGTCTGTCCCCAATTCTTGCTAACCTGGAGCTGGATGAGGTGCCCGATGATGACTCCCCACTTTCCCCCATGCTGTACTCCAGCCCCAGCAGCATGTCTCCGTCCACAGGACCCACAGGACTCTCTGACCTGGCTGGTACTATGAACCTCAACGACGGCCTGTCGGACAACCTGATGGATGATCTGTTAGACAACATCAGCCTGACTGCGTCACAGCAGCCTCCCCCCGGAGAGGAAGACCCTGGAGCCAACGGTCAGGGCACCTCAGTGTTTACCTTTGGCTGCTCAGGTACTGGTCTAGGTAGTCCCTCTGGAAGCTATGGGTCAAATCCGCTTTTCAGTCCATCTTCCATCACGAGTCTGCGTCAGTCACCCATGCAGACCATCCAAGAGAACAAGCAGACCACGTTCACGAGCATCTCACACTTCAGCGAGCACCAGACCCTGCAGGACCTGCTGAGTCTGGACTCCCACAGTCCCAGTGATGTCATGCTCACTCAGTCCGACCCTCTAATGTCGCAGGCCAGCACCGCCATCGCCCTGCAGAACTCCCGTCGCAACGCAACGCTGCTCCGCAAGGACCACGTCCTGCTGAGTCCCGGCAGTCCAGGTCTGGCTCCGAGCTCTTCAGTGCCTGGTTGGCAAGCTGGCTTGTCGACCGCCGAGACCGACGTGGTTCCTTCCGCTGCCAAGCAGCCGCACCTGAAGTCTCCCAGTAAGACCTCCTCTATGCAGCTGAGCTCTGGCTTACCAGGTCAGGACCGGTTCCACGCCGATCTGGGCCTCGATGTGTTCAACGGCGGTCTGGACTGTGACATGGACTCCATCATCCGTAACGAGCTGATGGAGGCAGATTGCCTGGAGCTGAGCTTCGACGCCCGCCAAAGCTCCGCCCAGAACAGGAAGTCAGGAAGCCTCTCCAGCTCCAAACAGACGTCTCAGAGCTGGGTGCCAAGCTGAGGAGGAGCAGGGACGTTTGAGTTTACCAACCTGTGTTGTGCAAATAAAGGGAAAAATGTATTTATGTCCAATTTTCAGTAGCAATACAGTCAGGTACAGTCTGGGTATGAAACTAGATGTGCAGCTTGTATCCAGGCCAGGCATGGTCAGTCCTGGTCCTGGAGGGCTGCAGCCCTGCATGTTTTACTTGTTTCTCTGCTCCAACACACCTGATATGAAGGAAAAGATGATTATCAGGCTTCTGCAGTATGGAGGACCAACACTGACATAATTAGAAATAAAAGCAGATTTATATGAACCACTAAATAAATACTTAAAATGCAACAATTAAATTAAAAAAGATTAACTTTATCTCCTGTTTTATATTTGAATTGACTTTAATATGTGGTTTTTTAAGGTTAGTTCCAACAAATTAATCTATATATTTGAACACATAACTTAAAGTTTACTGTTTTTTAAATATACATTGTTTTTCCTTTTACTTGTACATGCATGTGTGTCTTAAATGTTTATACCCAATATTTTTTTTCAACAAGTCTTTGTATCTCTATGTGTTGCATGTTTGTGCTGCCTCAGTTTAGCTAAAAGTTTAAGGTTTAGTTTAAAACAAAGGCAAGGAGGAAAACACTACCTGTGCATTTATTTTTAGCTAAACTTTAAGCTAAACTGCAGCAGCACAAGCATGCAACACATAGAAATAAAAAGACTTGTTGGACAAAATTATAAAAATAACTCAATTTAAGCATTCAAGACACAAATACATGTACAAGTAAAAGGGAAAACTATGTAAATACATATTTAAAAAACCATTAAAATTTTAATTGTGTGTTAAAATATATAATTTATTGGAACTAAGCTGGAAAAATAAATGTGAAGGTCAATTAAATTATAAAAACATGAGGTAAAGTTTTCTTTTTAAATTTATTTGGTGCATTTTAAATGTATTTATTTATTTAAAGGTTCATTTATCTATTTCTGCTTTTATTTCTAATTATGTCAGTGTCGGTCCTCCATACTGCAGAACTTGAAGAGGTAACAGTGACTGAATCAGGTGTGTTGGAGCAGAGAAACGTGTAAAACATGCAGGGCTGCGGCCCTCCAGGATCATGATTGCCCACCCATGATCTAGGCACATGCAGAGTACACAGTATGGCACTCGGGTACATCTTTATGTACATAAAACACGGCACATAGTTAGGTATTCACCAGGTATATATCGAGGTACTTACCAGGTGTTGGTGTGTATGAATTCAAATGGTCTGGAACTCACTGATGCCTTACCAAGTTCCTACCCAGTTACCTACCCAGCACACACCTGACTGGGCTGTATTATGAGTTGCTACCAAACTTTCTTCCATTAGTTTCATTGTGAAGCATTCGGTGCTGTGTTTTAGGTGTCTGAGACACTCCGTGTGGACAAAAGCAGAGTTTCTGGGGACATTGAGACAAACAGTAGTGACTCACATTAAAGTAAAATCGAAGGGAATGCATCGTTTGTTTTGTTTTTTCTCAGGGAATTGCTCATATCATGAAGCGATAAATGAAACTGAAGATGAAATCTGTGTTCCACACTGTGGGCTGCTGTTTGTAAAGTTACAGAGTCAGAAATTACCCAATATTTTTGTTTTATTTAACCTTTTATAAAGAAAAAGAATAGATTCATTTTTCAAAGTCAGTTTTTCACCATATGATTCATACATTTATAAATGCCATAGTTTATAAACTAAACATATCTTACAAATTAAATATTTAGTTAACAAGCTAAATATTTAAGTTGTGACTTCAA